AGCCTCAGCCATTTTGTACAAAGATAATCTGTTACTAAAATATATTCCAACATATGTGAAACCACTAACAATTTCTAATTGGTTACCATTATACTGCCATTTTTCTCTTCTAGATAACTGACCACCTCTTTTAAATACAAGTACTTTAGTTTTTTCAATATTAACTACAAGTTTACTACTAATGCAAAATTGTTGTAACAAGTTTAGTTGTTTTTGTAGACCGACAATAGTATCTGAAAGTAATGCTATATCATCAGCAAACATAAGTAAAAATACTTCAACAATATCAGGAACAAGTTGGATACCTCTGATATCATTTTCCACCATTAAAATATACAATTCATTAATAAACAAAGCAAACAAAATTGGACTCAAACTACAACCTTGACGGAGTCCTATTGGACATTCAAAAATATTTGAAAGATTCCCATTTGAACGTACACATGATTTAACAGAAAAGTATATACTTTGAATTGTATTATACAATTTACCCTTAACTCCATCTCTTCTTAAAATATCGTATAATATTGTGTGGTCCACGGAATCAAAAGCCTTCTGAAAATCTATAAAGGCTACATATAAAAATCGACGTTTCATATTAAAATACCTAGAGACAATTGATTGCAATACAAATGCGTTATCAATAGTACTATATCCGGCTCTGAATCCTGCTTGGGATTCAGAAAGTTTATTAAAAGCTTCAGCGTAAAAAGTAAGCCGTTTAGTAACAATTGTAATATACACTTTACTAAGTACATCAAGAAGTGCAATGCCCCTATAATTATTGGGATTATTTAAACTACCTTTCTTATGTAAAGGAATAATAATTGAAGTTGCCCAACTAGTTGGAAATTCACCTTTCGTAAAAAGTCTATTAAATAATTTACGAATATACGGTAATAGATATTGAATACCGTAGGCAAGTTGCTGCGGCAAAAGATTACCACCCGATGCTTTATTAAGTTGAAGTGATTTGATACTTGTCAGTATCTCTTCATCAGAGATATCAGAATTAAATATCAACTGCTCAATTATATCAAAATGTGTGTTTAAATCTACATCTTCTGAGCCGGTTTCACTATGCTGATTTGTATTAGTATTAGAAAACAAATCTCTAAAATGATTATACCAGTCATCTAATGATATGTTAGATTCAGTTTTAGATTTAATAAGTACACTTTTTATTTCCCGCCAAAATCTACGCGGGTCATGAACACATGAGTCTACTTTAGATAAATACTTTTTAGTATATAACCAATGTTTATGTTTACATAAATTTCTATAATATCGTTTACTTTCTAAATAAACTTTTAATGTTTCATTACATTTTCTTTTTCTAAACTTTTTAAGCAATATTTGCGATTTTCGTTTTGCTTCTCTACAATTTGAATCAAACCATGCATTTTTTCTCACTCTATATTTTTTTCTTATTTTTTTAAACTCAGTACAACTTTTATTTATTGACATTTCAAATTCTTGTATAATATCATTAATATCACAATTGTCATTATTTAACATATTGTCAACCGACTGGAAATTACCCTGTAAAATATTTTCAGATAAATTCCTGCGGTATTCTTCGCAATTGCCACTATTTAAATCATAATACACACAGTCGGATACCACATGTTTATCCCTGCTTTGCTTTTGTGACGTAATCATTGATAAAGACAGTGGAAAATGACAACTTTCTGTATTTGATTTGATTTCAAAATTTTTTACACGATCCATCAAACTTTTTGTGAGAATATAGTAATCTATTGTACTGCATCCATTTTGATTTACAAAAGTATAACCATCACTACCAGTACTTCTGCCAAATTTTCCGTTAACGATATAACAAGAAAACACTTTACAAAAATCTATTAACTCTCTCCCAAACTTATTAATTTTAGTATCATTTGAGGCTCCAAAAGTACCAATATCACCATCAACAATATCGTTAAATTCATCAAGTTCTGGAATATTGTGCGTACCAATAATAAAATAACATAAAGTACCTGTTCTAGCATTGAAATCTCCATTTAGCATCAGATTAGTATTTAAGAAATTGTTTCTTATAATAACATCTTCTAATTGTTTTAAACCGGAAACTATATTGTCAGTATAGAACGGTGAATGTTCTGGTGGAAGATACAGTGAAACATATAAAACATCATTTTCTATATTAAACAAACTTTTACTTATCAGTAATATAACACCATAGCTAAACTCATCACAAACGCGCTTAACAAACTTTGTATAACAGTTTCTAACCAGCACAAGTACCCCACTCATATTTCTTCCACCGCAGGTAGACAATTTTGCAGACAAATAAAAAGATGAAAAATCTGGGAAGTATTTATCACAATAACTATAGTCATCATCCCATGTCTCTTGCAAACTAATGATATCATATTGTGATAAAAAGTCAGAAATATCAGAATAAAACAATTTCGATTTCAAACCTTCGACATTCCATGAAATTAAGTTTATATAGTCATTACTTCGTGTTGGGCTTTGACCTCCATCCTATGCGAAAATTTCTAAATTAATTACAGACTTCCCATCATCAGAAGTAACCACCTCCATATCATCTACACCACCTGTATTCGGATAATGTGAGGGATTAACAATCACACCATCAGATCGCTGAGATTCATTATAAGATACCCCATTTGTAAATTTTACACGAGTATCATCACCGTGTTGTTGCTTAGGTTGCAATTCAACTAGCTGGCCCCGATAGAAATACCCGTGACGACCCTTTTCCTTTAGCTCCTTCAAGCGCCTACGTTGACGTGCTGTTAGGTCATCACCAACGCGAATACCTTTGTCACGCAATCGACATCGACCGGCATAGACATGAGCCTTGTCATCCTCAAACCGGAAATGGACTATTGTAAGTGGTGTGCTATCGCTGGTAAGTTGACCAAAAATCTTATCATTCGTAACTTTGAGCACATTGTCAATAACAATTTTTCACGGCTTGTCAAATTACTCTCAGGGTCTATTTTAATCCCAAAAATTCTCATTTTTTCGCGATTCGCATATCGTTCTTAAAAGTCAAGGTAACTTTCAAGCTTTGAAATATTATCTTCATATCTGTTACATCGACCATCTATAAAATCGGTATCAATCCTCAAATTTTCACTTAAATCTTGCAACTTTACGACATCCTTTTCACATTTTCCAACCCGTATTTCATTTATTTTCTGTTCTTTAGACACTTTAGTTACATCAGATCTTATTTCGGCTATATCGCGTTTTAATAACGAAACATCATTTTTAACACCAGCAACATCCGTTTTGACTGCCCGTATTTCTTCGATTAGCATAGTTTTCATACTTTTAAGTTCAGCCAACAATTCATCGTTTGTAGCAGGACCAGGATTGGTTTCAACATCAGCAGACAATTCCAACAATCTTGCACAATAGCAGGTATATAAAGGTGACGAAAGTGTTTCACCTAGATTATGTGCATTGATAGTTTTTGGAAAACAATTATCTGTTATCATTATCGTTGCGCTATTCAAGAGATTTTTGGTAATAAAAGTTCCTGCCAAAATAATTGTTATCGCATAAAATCCCATAAGAAACACTCTTAAATGAATGTCAGTACCACTGGTGAACCGTTTATATACACCCATTGTCTTACGCTGTTTATATCCTCGTCCTGGACCGAATAAACCAATCCTTGCACGATACAGATTGATATCAATGTTCATTATGACTCTGATGCGCTTCCGTAGTTTTAAAAATTTGACAGCGAACAGATACGTACGCTAATACAAATGTACATGTATATAAATATCAAAACCAGCCGTGCGTGATCTTATCGTGTATTTGTCCAGCCAATATGGAGTCACTTTATGACCGAATGAAAAAATTAGATCGCTACCCGTTTACCAATAACTTTAAAGTCTACAGTTCTAATGATTTCATATATAGAAAGCTGGTACCTTCATGATAATTCCAGTATAACTTTTATTCCGTAATTTCACAAATAATCCGTTTTAAATCACTTTTAAGATTGCACAAAAAATGTTCGACTTTGCACTACTAAATCACAAAATATCAAAAAAAAAAGGAAGCTGCATTTCTAATACCTTTATGGCAACCCCTCAGCCACGAGCGGTAACGTGTATCTAAAAAATATATATGTAAAACTTCATTACAATCGTATATATTATAATATTATGTACATTTATAAAATAATAAGAGAATTCCCTAAAGTATATTATTGTGTACAGCTTCTTAATTTCCCTTCAATAAAGTTAAATATTTTTATATTTTATCCGTATCTTTCTTTCTTCTTTGATGCCTTTTACTTCGCAATAACACAGCAGATGTCATTCAGCGTCTTTCCAGTCTTTCTTGTGTAGCTTTCTCAAGTGGTCTCTTACCTTACCTTGTATAAAAACAGTTATCATTTTGATAAATTGAAATTGGACAAAATTCATAATGCCATGAAAAACCGGTAGTTGGTTATTTTATGTTGCCATACAAAACTGATTTCTCCATATGTGTCAACAAGCAAAATTCAATGATTTGACCTTGAAATGACTTAAGGTCATTTAAAGTTCAAGGTCATGGTTAGGTCACATTTTAGATGGTCGTGCCCACAAAGTCGTAAAGGTTTTTTTATTAATTACAATCAGTTATAGCCAAACCAGTGAAAATTCAATAATTTAACCTTCAAGGTCAATGTCATAAATTAGCCAAGGTCAATTTTAGTTTGATATTCATAAAGGACGTGTTCAAAAAAATGTTGTATCTTAATATGAAGTCAATCTATTTATAAATAACAATGTTATAACAAATTGCAGTAAAAGAAGGAACATTTTAATATTTCTAAATTTTACAATACCATGCTCAAAGTGGAATACTGCTTAAGCCAGTTCAAGGGTATGTGGACGGTAGCTTGACATCACCAGTATAGCCTATGGATATATCAGAAAAACTTAATTCCTAAAGAACGGCCAAAACGGCAAAATTAAAATGAAATGTGGCAGGATCGGTTACGAGAAATTTCCTTTGTTCTTCAACTGAGTCGGGGCTGTCTGAGCTGAACCTACGACACGGTTAAGGAAGAATATGAGGATGCCGGTTTCCTTTTCTTTCTCTGGCCTAGAGTACATGTAGTCCTAGATTTATTTATATGTTCTGACAATGGCTCCTCATGACTTGTTTTGCCTTTGATAGAGGTGACATTGACTGTTCCTGTCCCTTACAACATTGCATGCTTCGTGAGCTTACTATATTAGAGCGCGTGTGCCATTTAATTTGCAAAGTTTGCAAGATAGTATCTGATGCACCCAGAATAAATCTGTGTAAGAAGAGTACATTTATAACATAAGCTAAAAGACTTGCAAATCTCCAGAAATTAACGTTAGTTTTCAATGTTAAAAAATTATCATCCACTTCTCCGAAGTGTTCAAAGATCTTTTTCAAAATTCAAAGAGAACATAAATATTATTCAAATTAACATAGATGCCTCGAAAGGATTTTTTCAGACTCATTCTCCGATTAATGATTTAAAACACCTCATGCAATTTCATGATTTTTAAAAAAACTAAGTCAGACAAATAATGATGGATCCTTAGCCACGTAGGAATACCAGAAAATGGAAAAGGAGACGCTTTGGATAAAGAATACACAAATTCTCAAAAAAGTAGAATTATCGAAACCAAAAAGTGATTAAAACCCTCGAAATAGCAAATAATCGATAACAAAAAGTGATTTAAAACCCCAAATTAGCAAACTTATTTTTTCTGAATAGAAATTGGAACAAAGCTGTATTTAACAAACTTTTTATATATTTCCTTGTCTCGATAAATCACCATCTCTAACTCTCCTAACCTTCATGATCAAGTTGCTGTTCTTATATGTGGAATTGGACAAACTGGAGTAACACATTCTTACCTTTTTACAGGAGACGACGTTCTTTCCAAATTTCCAAAAATGTGACATTCAATATCCCACATGGAAAATGTAATATTACGTTTTTGATAAAATTTAATAATGCAGCTTGTCATGAAATGATAACGTGACATTTAAGCATTAGATAATTTATTTATTTATATTACTATATAAATAAATGATAATTATATACAAAAGTTAGTGAAAAGTTTTGCCTAGTATATATATGTTGATCTTACTCTATGTATAGAACAGATATATTGTTGATCGTATCTTGTTATTCAAGCAACATCAGTTGGATTATCATCGCATCTGTTTCAGTTACAATGGTTGGCAAAATTCTAAATAACTGAAATGAATGTTTCCTTGAACGTGCCAATGTGAATTTCAATCTATCATGTGCAATAAAACTATTTTCAAAGTACCAGCATAATGAAGAGACTTCTCTTGTTTGTTATTAATAGAATAATTTGACTAGTCTTAAATAGATAAATTAATGAACTACTTCTAAAGGTATGACCACCCTACGGACACTATAAGGAATTAGATAATTTTACAACATAGGTCAGATATGTGCCTTTAAGGATATCTGCATGCAAAATTTAAACAAACTTTACCGACGGTAAACGAGTTATGGTCATTTTTTGAACTTCAGCTTGGATGTAAGAAGGGCATTTTTTTAGAAATGATGAAACCTTAATGTAATCTATAATATCATCCTTATGAAAACTGTTTTCCGATTAATTATTGTTAAAAACAAACAATAACATTCAACTAACAATCCACACAAGCAAAATGATTGTTTCTACTCAAAATAATGAAATACGTATTAAAATGTGTCCCTACCCCACCCATTTTTAACACGCATTTGACCATTTTTTCAACTTGAAGAGCCTTATCAAAAACATCCCTATAATTAACCAAAGTGAGGGGCTGTTCTAAGTTTTCCTAAATTTTCTCAAATGTATATTGGTTTAGTTTATCCAATAAATACCTTTGTTAATTACATAATTAAAATTTAACATTTTTTCCAAAAGGGATATGAGAGATACATACATAATGTTTAAAGAAAAAAAGAAAAGAAACATTCTGGTGTATGAAACCACGACCCTAAGTTTCAATGGAGTTTACAGTAGTTCTAGCCTATTTGAATACTCTTTAAAGCGGGGAGGAAATGCATTAGGATGGTAATACCTTAAAGGTGAAATAAAATTGTTCATTCAATTTGTGTCATTGTGTATACAGTAGAAAATTGGATTTAACCAAGTCATTCAGAATATTTGCTGTATATCATCTTTCTCATAAATAGATATGGTGATTCATGTTATTACAGGAAATATAACAGATACAATAAGAAATAAATGGAAAGTAAATACAGACTTTAGAAATAATAGTTAAATCAATAAAATTTACCAAACAAAAACAAATCTATATAGATAAACCCAAACTCAAGGAAGAAAGAAAGCTTTTTTGTTCGTTTAATTTATTTCCTAGGATGATAATAATGTTTCTTTAAAGTTAGTTAATCGGAAGCAGTAAACTGTTATATACGGTTTATATTAAATGTTTGTATCCACGTAAACTAATTCTTTTTTGAAGTTATATATATCAAAATACAAAAAAAAAGAAATCAATGTCAAATCTTCATGTATCCTTCATGTACAATTATATTTCTTCTTTAAAGATGTCAGCATGTTGTATATTTTCCGGTAAAGCATTAAAGTTGCATGTTCACATATTTTCCGCATTCAGCAGTATCTTTATCTGAAAATATTGATTATTTTTCAAAGATTTATATTCACTTTAAGAATGTCAATATAATTATAAAAAACATCAACGGTAAGATATTTTTTCCATCAAAATTGATTTCAAAGTGCTGCAACTTCTCAATGGATTGAGATAGAGTCAAATGCTTTTCAGCGTTGGTTACACGTTACCTTATGATCTATCTGGGGTCATTTATAGCCTCTCACAAGTCCAAAATTTTCTTGGCGATGAGGGGGACTCCGCCCCCTTTCAAACCCCCCCAAACAGAAGGGGGCACATCCCCCTTCTGGCAACCCCCTGATGTATCTTTTGGTTGGGGGCCGCACCGAAAAAGTGGTCACTTTTTTAACAACATTTCTCAAACAAAAACAAGTGTTGGGGGCCTGAATAAGGCATTTTTTCACCATTTGAGACAACAAAAAGGGGGGTGAAAAAGGCGTTTTAAGGCGTGTATATCGCGTAATGGGTTAAAGCAATTGACTTGTCTTACACAGGTGGGTTGTAACACAGGTTTTTCTAGCACCGGTGTTAACAGTCGATATGCTTGTCTGATATGCAAGAACGTGTAAATGCTAGTGCGGCGAAACTCTAAGAATGTTTGTTATCATGTAAAACGTTTCTTTGTAATTTTTCTTTATTCTTTGAAGGGTATCAATGTGTTGGTCCCTTACCTAGAAAAAATGACATATTTTAATACTATCACGTGTACCGTTAAATGTATCGTGTGGTGGAATCCATGTTTTATGGATCCAATTTTAGTTTATTAACCGAATATCTATGTTAATTATTCCAATATGTTTCATTGATTTTCTTGAAGTCCATTTTTAATGTATTGTTATTGAAATACAAAACTTTCCATTAAATTCATGTGAACTTATCTCGGATATTTTTTCAGATTGCATCTTTTTTAGTTCAATGCATCAATCCATTATTCAATGAAGTATTCATACTTACAATTATTTGAGATATTCTGCATTTCGGGTGTTGCGTTCTAAAGACATATCTGCACCATAGTTCCCTCATTTCTCCTGAAATTCAGTTATATATATGTTGAGTGCAGGTCACAAAAACATTTTATTTTTGTTTGGGGGTAAAGATTAAAAAAATATTGCACTGAGAGGTGATAAATATGCAATTTGTATATTGCTGATTTCGATGTGAGAAATAAGGCAAATTAACGAGAAACTTTTTTTACTTTGTGCGTGTTCTGTAAAATGCAGCAGTCTTTGACTATTTTCAATGAAGCGCTTCGCAAACGCTGTGATTACAAATGTATGTTAAGCTTAAAGTAATTCATAATTATTTCAGTGGAATAATACTATTTGCATCGAGAAACATACTATGAAGAACAAAACGCAACGATTTATATCACACTCACTGTGAGTGATATAAACTTTGATCTATGTTGATTTTACCTTTTTGCTGTAAAGAGTTTCCTTACAACCATACTCGATATCAACACACATAATGCAACAGTTGTAATAGCAAAAAGAGTTGCAAACACGGCAAATAAAGTACCCTTTGAACCATCTTTGTAATCAACGTTTGCTTGTTCTAAAATGAATTGAATGTTGTAGATTATGAACACTTTAAATAAATTCAAGATCAATCGTGATTTTTTTTGTTTCTCCCTTCTAATTTTTAAGCAGTATCATTAATAAAATGATCATAACTTTACATTCATAATATGTAAATGCAAATTGCAATCATACAAATATTGTTATTCTTTCATAATACTTACTGCCGTTTTATAAAAATGCATGGATTTCCTTCAACCGACTATATCTAAAATTGTGTTAACTATCTCCCCATTTTCTGTAATATTTTTTCCCAACTTCGAGTAATTCAACCGGTGAAAATGTTTAAACAATATGCACTGATTAATAAACTAAAACAATTAGAAAACGGTTACAGAAATCAAAAATGACTTATTATAAGGCAGGTTACAGGAGATGCAATTGTTTCCTGTGTAGGGGTAATGTACTATATTTAAAAGAACTCCGTCTAGTTTAAGGGATATGTACGTTATTCCGACCTGAATATGTGTTATTTTTATCATTTTCTACCGCACACCTTGTCTTATGGTCACGTGGGTAAGGCACCCTATTGTCTTGGTTTGACATAAACTACTAATATATTATGTTTTTAAACATTAGATATGCACAAAACACAAATCTCAAATTTTAGTGCTGGTATAATATGAGTATTTACCTTTACTTTCAGTACAAATTGGATTATCTAAAACAGCTATGCATCCTTTTGTGCAAATACCAGTATTAAATTCACAGACATTGTTGATACAAAGATCGCTGCATGTCTGTTTACAGGATTGACCAAAGAACCCAGATTCGCATTCACGACAAGCTGTGTTATTTTTGCAATATAAACAATTATAGCTGTGTATACAACACAAATCTCCAGAGTGGTCATTCTTACATCCCTCTTTACACTTCCCAGAATCTTTATAGCAGGAAATATTCATACAATTAGGGGAACAGTTCAGCTCACAATATGAGCCATAAAAGCCAGGTTCACAGGTATCACAAATCATTCCGTCAAAATTGTCCTTACATTCAAAACAATGCCCAGACTGTTTCTCACATCTGTTGCCTTTACAAGTATCTGGACAATCACTTTTACATTCTTCTCCATATTTACCCTGAACGCATTCCAAACAAAATGACCCTTTGAAACCATCCTTACAACCCTCGGGACATGTACCGTCATCCTTTTTACACTTTCCATTTAAACAATTTTTCGAGCAATTGTTCACACAAAAAAGTCATATTTGCCAACAACACAGTTTTCACAGTACTTGCCAGACATTGTATCTGATTTACATCCTTCTATACAGTTTCCGAAAGTTCTTCCACACTTATTGCTTTTACAATTATCGGGACATTCCTGGTCGCAAAAGTCTCCATAATAACCAGGTACACAGTCTGAACATGTTTCACCATCAAAGTTAAGTAAACAACTACATTTTCCAGTTTCAATGGAACAAACATTATCTTTGCAGCCAATTGAACAATTATTTTGACATTGACGACCAAACTTTCCAGAATTACAGTTCAAACATTTATCGTACGAGGAGCAGCTTATACAATCATTTAAGCATGTATTTGAACATACATTCTGGTTACCACTACTATAAAATCCATCTTTACATGAATAACAATCTGTATTTGTTGAACAATTAAAGCAATTATCCGGGCATTTGTTCAGGCATGATCCTCTTGTGTCAAAATACCCATCTTTGCACATTACACATGCCGAGGAATTGCAATGACAATTTTCAGGACAATTTGAATATCTACAATCAAAGTATCCGTCTTTATTGGTAAATCCTTCTTTACAAGTTAGACAACGGGTATCAGAAGTACATGTTTTACAGTTAGAAGGACACATAGACTTGCAATCGCGATTAATTCCTAGGTAAAATCCGTCAAAGCATGAATCGCACTAACTTGTAGCATTATCACAAGTTTTGCATATAAAATTACAAAGCTCATAACATCGAACACCTCTATGACTATCAATACATCCATCTACACATGCATTGGAAAAAACATACATTTCATGACACATTGAACTAGCACAGCATACACTGCAGCTATTGTCATGTGTAATACAACTTTGGTTCCATTCTGGAAGTAGTTGAAAATAATATTTCAAAAATGAACGAAAAGACACATTAAAGTAGTACCATATACATAAAAATTATTTACATTGAATTAAAATAGAAGTTTTATTACATTTTGAGTCACTTAATCAGCATATTACTTTCAAAAACATTACATTCACTGGTATTTTTAACACATATTCATATATATTATACATTAATCTGTAATTTATTTTCTATAAATTCAAAAATGTTTCAAGCAATAAAATATATAAACCTTAAAAGTCGCGAAACACAGAAATTAAATTAAATGTTGAGGTCTCAGATTGAAAAACACAGTAGTGGTTAAACCATTCTAATAAATATAATGCAAAACATAAATCGTATTAGGCAGCACACAAAATCTAAGATAAATATTAAAAAAATCATATTTCATGTACGTGGAATATCATATTATGTAAACTTTGATATGTTTAACTATTTCAAGGGGATATTTCTATAAACGAAGTAGATTTTTAATCAGAAATATATTCCATTAAATGATAATGTAAAAATAACTTTTTATAATAAACATTGAGGTTTATTCTAAACTTCAATGTTCATTTATGAACTTTATTTCAATCATAATTTAAATATGAATAAATTATAATATAATGTTAAAATATTATAACATCAGTTCTTAATTGGTGTCATATATCGGGTTGGATTCGTTTCCATAGATTGTCATTGCTTGGTCCATAATTATCATGTTATTTTATACTTTTTTTCCCTTTTTCTTCTATACTTATTTTTTGTTATCATTTTATCTTATTTTATAAAAATAACGTTCAAAATTTCAACGCTTAAAAGGAATATTATTCGTGCTGTTGAATTGTTTTTACACTTTTAACTTTGTCAGCATATACCTATATGTTATCTACATCATATCGAAATACGTTTAAATAATATGTATAAACTTCTCCATTATCTTTATGAAAGAAAATCATTGTATTTGGTGTAGATGTGGCTTAAGGTATTAGCACCCTAATGCATTACCTCCGCTTTGAAGATTATTCAAATAGGCTAGAATAACTGTTAACTACATTGAAAATGAGGGTCATGGGTTCAATCCCCAGAGGGGTCAACTTTTTTTTTTCTTTCTTTTTTTCTTTTAACATTATTTATGTATCTCTCATGTCCAATATGGAAAGAAAAAGTGTTTAATTTTGAATTTTTAATTTATATAGGTATTTGTTGGCTAAATTATGCTAAATCTAGTAATAAATATGGTACCTGATATTTTCAAAGTGTAATATAATCAAAACTAGACGGTAAAAGTATTTCATATTTTACAAGATCAATCAATATACTTTTTTAAAAATTTAGGGAAACTTTGAAAACAGGCACTCATTTGGGTAAATTTTAAGAATTTTTTTAATTAGGCTCCCTAAGTAGAAAAATGATCAGACATGTGGTAAAAATGGGTGGGGTAGGGTAACATTTTTATACAGATTTCATAAATTTTTAGTAGAAACCATAATTTTGCTTATGTGGATTGTTAGCTGAATGGTACTATTTGTTTCTTACCAAAAATTCATGGGAAAACATTTTTCATTAGAATGTTATTGCAGATTATTTAAAGGTCCTCATAAAAAAGGGCCCTCATAACATCCTAGCTTAAGTTCAGAAAAGTGGCCATAACTTGATTTCCGTACGGTAAACTTTGTTTAAATTTTGCATACAGGTGTATTTTAAAGTATACATCTGACCTATGATGTCAATTCTTTAGTTCCTGATAGTGCCCATTAGGGTCCTAATACCTTAAACGCTCAGTTATAAATTCATCTACAATGTCCTGGACAGTTATCTAATGACTATCCTTAAGAAAATGTTAAACATATATGAAGTTATGTTGCATCGTATAAAATAATAACATACTGCCAAAGACAAAATACCTGTCAATATATCCTAGATTGTATACGACAACTAAGACCTGAAACAGATAACAATTCACGTAATCACTATGATAAAAGTTTTAAATTACCGTTCAACATGAACTAGGTATAATTATTTCTTTAACAACGATCATGCTTTATGATACATAAGGAACTGTGATATACATATATGTACATGTATATTGACCATTTCTAGAATTAAGAATTTTTATTCAATTATAAAGCATTGATTTATAATAAAATGAACAGCATTTATAGTAAGTACAGCTGCAAAAGTTATTGAAATTAAATGCGAAGTATTTAACTGTAGACGTAGACGTAAATATCTATACAAAAAAATTGTTTTAATATAACACACCGTTTTCCAAAATCTGTTCATCTTCGTGAATTAAATATCCTTTAATCATGTATCACTATAGTTTTGACAATTATTTTATCTTGTAATTTAGTATCAATCGGTGTTTCACGATGTCTTTATAATAATTTTAAATGTGTTTACAGCAATAGAGATTGTGATATATTAACAAATGCCAATTAGTAATTAGGAAGTAAAATTTACTACACATTTGATCAAAATAAATGTCTTCCTGTTTTAATTCGTTGTTCAGCTAGGTGTATTGAAATCGTTGATCAAGAATTTCATTTCGAGAATAAGTTTCGAGAATGCCCTTTACATATGGACATGTTCTGAACCCATCAAACAATTTGTGAAGATGATGAAATTTGTAGTTCATGTATAATTGAATACTTTCGACAATAATTTCATAAATGCAGCACTTAAATCCGTAAATATAACACTTTTTATGCCTTTATCCCGCCCGCTTAATTCAATAGGAAGAACATTGGATTTGTTATACAGGGGTAGCTGTTTTCATCCTCGGGTGAAGCAAAATTTTGCATGACAATAGATCCCTGATATTTAATCGAGCTCTGTCGCCGCTGATAGTCAGGTGTACCGACCGACGATAATTATATGACAAGATTAGCATATTAATTTTCCTTCAATAAGGTTTCATTTCTGCTCATAATTTCAGTTTCCGTTACCTAAAGGTCTAATAGTATTTATTGCTCCGATATGGGGCGTCCGTGGCCGAGTGGTTAAGGTCGAACACTTGCCCCTCACCGCTGTGGGTTCGAATCCCGACGGGGACTTTTGATTCTTTCATGTGAGGAAGCTATCCAGTTAGCTTACGAAACGTCGGTGGTTCTACTCAGGTGCCCGTTCGTGCCTGAAATAATGCACGGAAGGGCACATGAGGTCTTCATCCACCAGTAAAGCTTGAACGTCGCGATATGACCTATACTGTGTCGATGTGACGTAAAAACCAAAACAAACAAAAAAGCTCCGATAAGAACTTTTTTATGTTCACAAAAATTTGAATAAAGAATACGTGTTGTGCTATGTTTAAAGACTATGACAAGAAAGAGGAATAAAGGGAGTAGTGGAAGCGAATCTGATAAATTGAACCCCAAAAAAGCAACACAGAAAAGAGGACCGTCAGAGGGTACAGCTGATACTTAGAATGTAAGTGAAATATTAAATGAGACACATGTTATTCTGTTCGACTCTCAGCATTGTGAAGTGAAGAGAAATGATATAAAGTGCAATACCAATGTAAACAACAAGCAGGTGAAAAGTATGGCTTCTTTTAGCGATAAAGTAAGTAAGAGTCCAACTTCTATAATGTCTTCATAACAAGGGGATTGTTTGTTTGATTGTTTGTTTGTTTCATTTTACGCCTTTTTTCAACAGTATTTCAGTCATATAGGCGGGAAGTTTCCTTACCATCGTTCCTGGAGACTTAACCAGTACTAGACTACCTTCCTCCGCGCTAAACTACCAAAGCATCTCCCGGGAAAAACAAGGGGATAATAAGGAATTATTTAGTACAGGTGCAAGTTAAAGTATTAAATTGGACTTATTATCAGAGACGGTTGTGGATATTAAGAAAAGTCAGGATAGCATGAAACGTATGTTCTAATCGAAATTAGAAAAATTCCGATCTGACCTGATGGAGAGCATCGATACGAAAATACAGGCCTTACGTGACGAGTTGTCATTGGATAGATGAGAGAGCTATCGACTATTACAAGCCACGAACACTGTTCAAGGAATGCAATCCCGAATTACTACAATAGAGCAGACGACAAGTTCACGCCATACAGATGAAAATAAGTCACGTGATAGCACGGATCAACACAAATATGGACAGTTTAATCCAAGCTATGACCCAGATTTAACAGTAATAGCAAGTGGGTTAACATACACTGAGGGGGAATATTTAATGGCGGTAGCACAGGACTTGATAAGTGCTTTAGGCGAATGTTCTTATCATCGATGTATCGCGGCTTCCGACGCGGTACGTTAACCGCCCACCGTTAGTAAAATAAGCTTTCAAAATGTCGAGTGCTATCGCATAAAATGGCACTAAAAGATATGGACAGATATAAAGAAGTTTACATTAAGAGTTACAAGTCGCGTATTGAAAGACTGATTGAAATGAATGCGCGAGATATTTTGAATGAATTACCACAAGGCAACACGTTAAGGGTAAATGCAAATGGACGTATCATGCACAGAGTACAACAAGATGATAGAACGCTCCTAAAGCTTCTGGAGGACTGGGTTTACTAGTGACAAAACTCTATTTGCGAAGAATACGAATTAAATGTTATGAATAAATCGTATGACGGAATTTTAGTTGTGA